CGCGAAGATCTAGGCATCTTTCCACGACGATCAGTTCCAGGTATTTCAGCATTCAGAGCACGAGTTAACTGCCCTACAGAAGTTTTGAAGTTATCTAAAAAAACCTGCAACCCGATGCTTCTGACTTATTATCTCTTGAAAATATTTGTGACTGGATTTTCTCACAGATCCTTCAAAAGTTATGGGCCGCCTTTGTTTTCTTAATCGTCGATGAATTGTAGTACACCGACATAGATTCTGGCTTTCAAAATCTTTTAGTTTCCAGAAATTATCAAAATTAGATTTTTTTTCATTATATTCCACGCGATCTGAAGATTTTTTGAGCAAAAGCAAAAGTTTTTTTTTGAACAAGTTTTGACACTCACAAGTTTTTATTTTTTATCGTGCATTTTTCACCATTATTTCTCGGTTTTTCTGATATTTTGTGCGTAACTACCTTCATTTAGAATTCTTTTCTAGGATTTCTAAATATGCAGTGAAGTCTTCGTCCGAAGATGATAATTGTCTTACCCTTTTCCATTTCTTGAGAGCATTACGCTTAAGGCTGACTCGACTGACTTAACTCTTTTAGCCTTCCACAAATATTCTACTTATATACTCTTGTGTAAGCAAATTATCAACACGTAAATTCCTAGCCATATGTTTAATTCCTTAACTTGTGCGTTTGCCGATTTCATTTTCCGTCAATTGTCGTCAATCTTTTCACCAGCCACCAGCTACATGATGCAGGTAACCCGTCATGAACGGGTATATGTAATTTCTTCAAATTTTTGACTTACACCACTTTCATAATTAACACTAAATGAATTCCTTATAATGTTGAAATTACAACCACTATTTTACGATTCATTTTTGACGATATCGTAAAAATTACATTGTATTAATTTAGTTTAAAATAATATGATGCAAAATTATGGGCACAAATATTTCCTTGAGTTTCTAAATAAGAAAAAGTGTTTTATTTTGCCAAAAACGGCCGTTGTCGTATTCACGCATCCAATAATGATTTATCCGTTTCGTTTAGTAAACCAATTAGAACAAAGTTACACTAAGAACAAAAATTGAAAACCACGGACCGTAATCTCGTAGTGGTGAAGCGTTTAGAAAGAATTTGTAAAATTGAAAACCTATTTACTATATTTTTTAAGCATAAAAATGGTAGCTGCAGGATAACTCATTTGGTCTTTGGCAGAAACCAGTACCTCGGAGACTTAAGTCTATTTTGAAATTAGAGCTGTAAGCTACAGGAAGAATTATGTGTTATCTCCGAGAAGGCAAAACTGTTTTTATCATTCGCTAAGAAAAACAAAGCTTAAATAGGGACGTAAGAATACCCATGGTAATTAAATAAGTTGTTTATTTTTTTAAAACATCATGTAGTCCATTTTTTTCCCAGATTTCTTCCAAAATTGGCATTTGCGTTTCGCTTGTTTGACAAATCAATATAAAAAGATACACAGTTGCATAACAGTTGCAGACTACTACGAAAGATAATTAAAATATTCGGGACAAATGACAGTGTTTGTGATGTTAGGAATCCTATGCGCTTAAAACGCAAATATACCGGTGAAATTGTTGATATTATGAACCAAAGTGTGGATAAAAATCAAGAGCAATTAATTAGACATAGGAGTTTTGTATCGCATCACATGAAATATTTTTCATAAAGATTTCGGTTTTAAGGCGCATAAAATTCAGCTTATTCAAGAACTTAAATCAAATGACCGTTTGTTGTGTAAAAATTTTGCGGATTAAGCTTTAGAGTAATTTGAAACAGAACGACCATTTTATGAAAAAATCATCTCTAGTAAAGAAGCTCATTCTTGGTTAAGAATTTTCGTAAATAAACGAAATTATTACCTTTGAAGTGAAAACAACTCATAACCTGCTCATAAAACGCGTACGCATGGACAAATGTTAAGAGTTTAGTATGCTTCTTGATCAGGGGCTAAATATTGGTATTCCAGTATTGAGTGCTTACAAAAATCCAGATTCCATCATTTACATGAAATCGTTTTTAAATAAAAATGTCAGGCACAACATATAAAATAAAAAAATATCATATTGACATTTCTTACCGTTTTGTTTTTATTCCATATAAAAAAAATAGCTTCTTATTTCCTCACCCTATAAAGGACCCGTCTGTGATCAGGTATCCTAATTATCCACGAAATTGTAGATTTTTTATACACTAATTTGAAGCAATGTAGAATCTAGAAAAAGGATACATATGCGAGAAATATAGAACAGTGACATTAGTCAGAATTCTTTTAGTTTGTCCCTTTAAGCTATTGCACGAACCTATACGATAGATTGCATTAGTTGAAATGGGCTGAGGTTTAGCCATGAATACCCAATTCTCACCTTAAACTAAAGCTTTTCTGCTTCTGATTCTTCAGATTCCAAGTTTTTGTTAAGGAACTTTTTGTAGATTTCTTTATATATTTTTAAATTTACTTACGATGTAAGTCATATTCTAAGTTACTTTCTCATAAAGTTGCCAAAAATTTTTCAACAACACTACAGGCTACGTGGAAATCTTTTATGCTTTTTTGCTGAAACATTTTACTGCACCTTTTTTCTTCATATTTTTATACCTACCATCGAAAGATGTGGTATATTCATTTTGTCAAAATGTTTGCAACGCCTAGAAAGATGCTTCATAGACTCCATAAAATGTATTCATTCTTGACCAACATCACATTCTGAATGGATTTAACCATGTCAGTGTGTAACGCATGTGGTAAACATTCTTCTTGCCTAGTTGAAGCAGTCGGTTTCAAATTTGGCAGAATATTGAAAGTCCTTGCACAGGTCTGCATTGAAAATGAGCCAAATCACTCCACAGACAAATCTACAGCGTAACATAACTGGGTACATATCTGCTTTTTAGATTTTTTGCTTACTTATCATAAACAGTAATGATAAAAGTTTGCATATATCCTTTTATGACAACGGTTGTGGCTAAAAAAAATTCGGCTGTAATCGGGTAAAAGTTTCTTACTTTCTTCTTTGTTGTATATGTATTATTTTTCACACTCCTGCATTGTGTAGTGCGCCCGAATCCTTAAAAATATTCTGGTACAAGTTTCTTACATGAAATCGCAAATTTTTGCACTCACAGCTTCGTTTCTTTTACTCAATTTATATGTCTAGATATACGAATGGCTACTGAATGTAATAATGCGTATTTATATTTTTAATGAGTATGTTGTTAAAATTCTCAACCCCGACGCTATTCTGTTATTCACGATTAAATGCAACCACCAACACTCCTGGAATATAACAAGCAGAAATATTTATAAGAGCTTTACAAAAATTTTTCTTTCAAAGATGGCTAACGTGCCTTTAAAACATCTAGGCAGTCGTCATTATCTCCACAGAGAATAAAAGTTTGCTACTTTGCGAATAGTACGCAATATCCACGTTTTTATTAATTTGAATAACTTAAACATATTTCAATAAAAATTTCGCATTATTATCGTATTTATGCGTATGAAAAATCTCTGTATTTTTGATTAGTGAGATTTTTCGAATCGATTATCTATATGTTCCCGCATGTAGGCGGGAACATGTCTGTTAAAAGTCTCAAAATCAAATAAATCAAGAATAAGTTAAGCTACTATTCTCATATTTTGAACTGTTCGGGAGTATCTAAGCAATAGCCAAGCATTGAAAAAACATTTTAAAAAAATTGACACACCAATATTTCCATAACAATAATCCACGATCTGAAACAGATACTAGGCTTAGATCCACTAATCGTATGATCTGCAGTTCTATTCACATAAAATGAGACAACTTGATTTTGAAAAACAACCCATAGTACAGGGTTTACCTTATTCTTTTAAGAAGATTGAGCTTTGACTTGTCTACGTTAACATTTCAGTTGGAAAATGGGAAGCATCTAAGCAATTGCTATCTGGAGAAGCTCATTAAAACACTTTTTATCTTAGCTAACCCAAGTCAATTTATTGCGTGATCTGATAAGAAAAAGAAGAAAAATGATATGCACCTTGCTACCTTGTACAGTACTTCTCGCAAAGCAGAGCGAAAATGCCTCGTCTTATTTCCCTCATATATCTACTACTTATCGTAAGCATTTTAAATCATATTTTTTGCGAATGGACAAAACTTTGCAAGTATAAATGTACGATAAATATAAGTGATAAAAAATCTTGAGAGTGTATTTCTTTTTTCAGACAATGTAGTAGAAGTACAGAAGAATAGATCGACTGCATATATATTTCTCCTCTCCACAACTCCCGTTCCCTGGTAAACATATAAAGTCTATCCGTTAGCGAACCAATCCCATGTCATATAAGAAACTTAAGCGATTCCGTGGAATATTTGTATTGAAAGAGAGATGTCCGAAAATACAGTTTCTGCTATGTCTCCAGTTGAGTTAAAAGAATTTTTGACCATTTTAATTTTCAATTTTTACACAATTGGCGAATCATTTATGCCAACCATTAACAATTGTCTCATATTTTGTACATAAGTTTGATTCCGATATAGGTATGGCTTTCACTTTCACTGTATACGAAAAAGAGCTGAATCGATGATCTAACGACAAGAAATCTGACCCCTTTAAAACTCTGTTTTTTTTTTTTAATCTAAAATATACATTTTGCAATCCTCATTTCAGTTCTAAGAAATGAAACGAGAGTAAGTTTTCTCACCCATTATTAGTTTATGAATATAAAACTAGTTACGGACACAATATAATATTAATACTTTTAATTAAAAAACATTAGACAATGACCAAGGCGAAAATTTTGTATAAGTTTATTAGTTTATTTTTGGGAATTTGATAATGTCTTTCTGCGTACCCTCGCTCGCGCATTGTCATTACAAAGAGATTCAAACCCTAGCAAACACTCTTAATTTGAAAACATCGAATGGAAAAATAAAGAACTTTTTGTTTTGCATCGTACGCAGACGAAGTTGGTCTGTCAGTCGTCGTTGGTTGTCGCGGCAGCAGCGGCATCGAAACAGCAGAAATTGAAAAGATTCTTCAACCGTGAGCACAGACACAACGTGCTGCTCACAGCAACTGGTCGCATGTTATCGCCGCTGTTTAAACTTCGCGAAGAATGGTTGTGTTTGTGTTAGTGTTGGCGCGTGCATTCACGTCGACAATAGAAAATTTTTAAATAGATAATCCTTGGTAATTGTTTTTGAAACGAAGTCCTTGTGCTTTGAATGGTCGTGCACTGAGTTCTTCTCTGAATAGCATGAAAAGAAAAAAATAGCAGAAGAAAACTCAATCAATTACACAAAAAGTGCTTTGGAAAAACGATTACAAAAGGTGCTGCGCATTTCACGTATTTCACTACCGATTTCAATTGGAGAGGGTGGCGGTGAGAACCATTACATTCGTGTAAATTTATATTATTCAGTGTAACCATAGCCGTCATAAGAAACACCTGTTACTGTAAAGCAGGAAAAAACCGTTCAAAACACAGTGAAAGCCGAAGTATAGAAAATGAAAAAGTGAAAATACCGAAAAAAAATAAGAACTGTCGGACATAAATTCGTACATACACGTAGGCGTGTGAGCCTTTTAGTGTATTCACCTATTTCGTTTCGAATAGGGTTTGTCATTCTATATTAATCATCGCTGCGATCAAACACTATTTCTCTGCGTTTCTTATCACGCTTTTTCTAAGTAACACCGGCGAATACATAGGTGTCTGTTTATCAATCCGTCACCTTGAATGCTTTAGCTCATTTTTAGTTTAAATGCGTCGCTACTATATCGAAATCATTTACGTGCGTGAATATGTTTTTATTATTTGTGAGAGAGTGTGTCTTCCGATTAAGGTTAATTAACGCCACAAACTGCAGGCTTTTGCCTTTCTTACTCTTATCGGTTTCTATTTCTTATGGCGATTCCTAATATAAAAAGAAAGAAAGATCTGAATATTTAAAAATAATTGCGCAACTTCACTCAATTTTTCCGTTTTTCTCATACCTTTTCTAATTTTCTTTTCGTTGTTATTGAGTAGTTTGCGGCAGATTTTCTTTTTTTTATTCGTTTTGCATGTGCTCTTTTTCACACAGGGCTTTTAAATTGTGCGTAATTAATTTGCAATTAATTTTTGCGGTTGTTGTATTTGCTGTTGTTGTAGATTTTCGATTTGAAAATGCGCTGTAAGTTGAAACATTTCCTTTATTAATGTATCGTAACATGTTTGCACTTATATATATTTGTGTGTGTGTGCAAGCCCGAACGCTTACAAATTATGCACAACATTTTGTTACAAAATTTATGAGGTGCAAACCAAACTAAAATGAAGAAGACATGTGGAGACTGCTATGAGATTTGAAATCATTATCGAATTTTTAAATTTAAATTTATATTTATACGTATCCGTATACTTAAAAATGTGAATATTTAATCATTAGGAAACGAGTCTAGATAACGGATTTAAAACTTACAAAATAGTTTACGCTTCGCCGTTATGCCGTTTACTAGGTGTTAACCTGGCATATAATCTTTACCCAAAGCTCTTTTCAATGGCATTAAAATTAAAGAAGCTGCCGGCACGGTAAATTTGAAAAACATGATTTAGAGAAAAAGCTTTGAAAATTTTGAGCTTCAATTTTTACGTCCAATCTGTGACACCTGCAACTTTATTTGGCTTTCAACACTTCTATTGTATGACAGGATTATGTTGTTTGCATTTTTTTTATATCTCTGCAATTGCACTTTTTACTTGAGAAATAATGCAATCACAGCACCTTTCTACAACTACGTTCACAAGATCAGCTTTTTAAACCTTTTTATAAACAATCATGTAAAAGTAATTTTAGAAAATTAAACGCTTATTTATGGAAAATGATCGTATCTGTTTTTACTTAAGTTGATAATACGTTAAAGCCTAACAGGTGGGAAAATGCTTGTCGGCTTGCAGTGCTTGTAATTTTCTGTAGTGCGATCATAGCACACCGTTTGGAGAGATAGGAACTGTACACTTTCCTGGAATTCGGTTTTAGGCTCTTTACTAACTTTGCTGACGTACATAGGTGTTATGTCCGCTAGAGCGATTTATCATCTGAAGAATAATTGTAGTCTCCTTTCACTAAATTCAAGTTTTTGAAGCCATGGTATTAAAACTTGTAAGATCCATGCTTTTAAGAACTTCGAATCAAACGTATCGGCTAAGAGGCAAGGCCATTGTACATTAAAAAAAATTGTTTTGTGAACTTAATAGATTTTTTTAAACAGATGTTTTGGGGTTTTCAGAATACGTGAAAAAAGATTCATTATCCGCAAAAAAGTTTTTTCTTAAACTTACTGGGATCTTTAAGTTGTTGATTTGCAACTTCCATAATATATGTTTTTGGAAAGTGTTTATTATGAAGTGCTTAGTATTGATTGTAAGTTCAACTGCTGGATCGCACATTTTCTTACCGTTGTCTCTACCAATTCGCAATACGTTAGGTGTAAAAAGTGGTACTTCCGAGCACAAAATTGCCATGTAAGGAGAATGACATGGAATCCTCACATATGGCAGTAAAAATAGTAAAAATGTATTGCAATCATTGCAATTGCAAAAGATATCTAACACATATATTAAAAGTCTAAAAGCGTTTTCCTTGAAAGCCAGTTTTGTAAAAACATCTGCGGTGGAAGGATGCCTACAATTATCATCCTCCCCTTCCAAAGTTTTTACAGTATCTTTAAAACCACATTCTCTGTTTTTTGGTCGAAAATTTGCGTTTTTCGTTTAAATACTCGCCAATTACATGAAATTCAGTATTTGCAAAAAATCCTCCGTATTCTCTTTCCGTAAGCATGTCAATTAAATGACTTGTTTCTCTTTCGTGCACCCTACGTCACTTGGGGTGCAAGGTTATATTGAATTTGTTCGGATGTATATAAGACATGCAGGACTTGAGATACACACAAAATGATATGAATTTCTGCAACGAATAAAATTCTTTTTATTATTACTGAGAACTCTTTTCCATTAAGTTCAAGTCAAAGAGTCCCCCGAACTCCATTCAAAATCGGCAGATTGTTTATTTAGAACTTTTATGTTTAGTGTTTTCAAATTGTAACTGCCGTATTTTTAAATGAGTTATGTTCAAAACTATTTCTCTTCATTTGGACTTGTGAACCATTAACTCTAAGTATAACGAAAAGAGAAACGGCTACATACAAAAAAATTTGAAGCATGGTTGAGAGAGAGTTTAAGGTGCTTCTCTCTACAAACAATCGTTACACTATTGCAACTTACCCTGCTCTAAAATGCCTGTAATAAGTTTTCGTTATAAATGCGATGAATCGGAAGCCAAGTGGTTTACGTAATTGTTTCTTTTTCCGCATATGGCATTCAACTTACTAAAAATGAGCAAAATTTGCAAATTTTAAGAAATAAAATGTAGTTGACGGGAACTTTTAACGCTCTTTTAGGACCTCAAAGTTAATCATATTAAGCATAATTTCTCTAGTTTAGATGTACGTCTGAATCGAATTGCTTTTCTGTGTATTTGTACGGTTTAATCAATTTAAAGAAATGTTGAATGCACTAAAACAAAATATGAAAAAAAAAAAAAAAAATTCAAACACGCAAGATTAATTCTACCCTGTATAATTGATATTGACTTTGAAATTAAATGCTACCGAGGAGCAAATCATCAATGGCATCAATGTGTGCGCACATATAAATATATTCGCATATATATGCACACAAATATATATACCCACATATACACACACGTATATATATATGCGCATAAATAAGTATATTTATACTACAAATGAACACATTTGATAATGGAGACAAATAACAAACGGATCGAAAATAATGGGATAGATGATCATTATGACCTCATGAAATTTCCTAGAAACGTGAGAGAAACTGAAGCCAAGCCGAAGAGAGAATTGAGACAAAACACCGAACATTAATTTAACCAGGCATTTAGCTGTCTAATGTAGAAGTGATTTCATGACTTAAATAGAATGAAAGACCACAGCAAATAAGTAAGAGCAAAAAGCTTGTAGGTTACTTAGATGGTTTCCAGAAAATATTTTTGGAAACTGATGACAACAAGAAAAAATCAAACAGAGAAATTTCTTGTGACCTCCGCCAGAAATATAAAAAAAGGTAACACAATTTAACAGCATTTCACAAACTTTTGCTAATATGAGATTCACATACCAATAAAACCTAAATCGAAATGAAATCGAAAGGTTGGTAACTTCACTTTGCTTCAACAACTTCGATAATGTACTAAACGGTGGTAACATTTAACGCATCTAAAATTGCAAAGAAAAAATTTTAATGTTATACACTATTAATGTCTTTATGGCATATTGCAAGTTTGAAAAGCGAGAGAGATAAACCACGAGCATGTGTAGTTCCAGTCTCGTAAAGAATGAAATAATGCGGAACAATATTCTATAGAAGGTACCGCCAATTCCAGAATGATAGAAATTTTATATGTTTCTAGCAATTGCTTTAAGTGCTTACTATTTATTTAGAAATATTTCAATAACCACAGGAATTTTTGAAATACATCCAACAGCATTTTAAAGAGATTGTTTTAAAAATATTTTTGCAAATTTTCAGTAAACTCGGAAGAATTGCTTAGTGCGACAGATGTTCATTTACGGGGTTTTCGTTGAACTTATCAACCAAAAATCTACTTTTGTCTCCTTGTGATGTAGAGCACAACAGCGCAAACACAATATAAAATGTCGCTAAATTCCGAAACAAAATTACATCTGAATTCCCTTTATGTACGACCAGCGCATATTTCTTGGCATACTTTACTTTTGGGCTGCTACTGGGTATTGTTCACCTGCTACATGTCACAGGCCACTTTGCAGCTGGAAGTATTTAGAATTTCGGACAGTTCCTATCCATCCTTAAATCATTTTAATGATACTCAGTGCTCATCGCGTAAGTTTGACAGCCTAGCTAAGGTCATTGACGACGTCGAGAGTTTAGAGTTGGACGTGCCTGTGAACATAGCGTTCGACAATCGCCAAAGAAAACGGTAAGTACTGTAATTTAGAATATAAGTGTTTGGACGACCTTAATTCGCCCTATTTTTTGCAAGAACATAGCGAAATTGTTTGTTCTTGATAAAATAGGTGTTCGCTATGAATTCAAAATTGAGAAATGAGAAAAAACTAAATTGAAGTTTCATATCCAATTTGCTGATTGTTTTGTATAGAAAAAAAAAAATTAAATTAAGAAAAGGAAGAAGATTTAGGCAAATTAAAACATATTTCATTGTGCTTGAATGTTCAAATGTTTCTGTAAAAAAAAGTCAAATGTCAATGATAAAAATAAAGGGAAAGGAACAATTTTTTGTTTGAATTTAATAAACTAAAGTTTAGAAATCCGTCATCAAAGTTACATTTAACTATATCCCGTAGACTCATTAAGAGATACAAAACCAAAAACAACCATTTTAACAGCCTCGCCGAAGAAATTCGTAAGCTAAAATAGAGATAGAAAAAAAATATATACAATTAAGAAAGCTATATTCAGCTAGGGCCGAAATCTCGCGTACCCACCACCATTAAAATCCTTGCCCCCTAAAAGGTATTCTTAAGAAAAGTTAATCTGCCAAGTCCTGACGCCCACAGTAATTAGATCGCAGTTAACGTACTTAGCTTTTCACATTCTATTTTCCCATCCCTTTTGTTTGACACCAGGTCGTGGTGCGCGCCATTTTTTTGCATTAAGGCTTTTATAGGCAGACACAACAACATCCCACAATTGTTGTGTTTGTGGACGGTGAAATAAAACTGCACATCTGTAACGTATATTTTACATGCTCCTACATCCCTCCAGCTTCTGCTGTTGCTCGCGGCGATTTAATCAATTAATCAATGTGCCATGGGTTCTTAACGATGATCTCGATTGCTACATTCCCTTTTTATGTTCGTTAATTTACAAAAACTTTTTCAAAGGTGGGCAAGGGTTAGGTCTTCTTCAGCTTAAAAACATCTTTAATGTAAATAATAAGCTGCTGGACTTAGTGTTTTGCTGGGATACTAATATGTCTTTATCTCCGAATGATCTGTTTGCTTCGTCTGAAGATAGGCATCATCCATCGTTGTTGCTGGCCGCAAGTTATCTAGATGACAACGGGCTGAGTAATCAAGGGATCATTAGTGATCAGCGATTGTTTGCTAAAACTAATTACGTTAAACTTAGGAACTTTCTGGGTGGCATTGTCTGGGGGCTTACGCTAAGAAGATATTGAGGATTGGTTATTCTTTATTTATAATCATCTTTCTTTCGCAATTTTCGTCTTGGTTCCTTTTAAGTCTTGTCATACCTCCTGTTTTGTGTAACAAGTATTTACGGATGGTCCGTAATTTAAAAAAATCGATCGTAGTGGATTGTTTAGTGATTATATGGTATACTCTAGCGCTAGACAAGAATATAACTCTCTAAAAGCAACGTTCTTTTCCAATTTTATTGATGCAACCAGGCGCAAACTTCTTAAAAATCCTAAGAACTTTTTAAATCCGTAAATTTTTAACAAAAAGTAAAGGAATTTCCTTCCGCTTTTGCTTTGGAAATCAAATGCTAATCTTCTGGAATTTTTTTCGATCACAAGCAAACTGATGTTATCTTCACGGACTTTCCCAAGGTTTTCGACAGAGTTGGTCATAGACTGTTGACTGACATAAATTACATCGCATTGGTTTTCCGAACGTTATGATTGCCTGGTTCAGGAGCTATCTGTCTAGGCGCATCCAACGCGTGTTGGTGGATTCTTGTCAATCTAGTGTAATTGTCGTCACAACTAGTATTCCTGAGGGCAGTCGTATTGGCCCGCTTTTATTTATCTTACGCGTGAATGACCTTCCGGAGTGCATTCAATATTCTCGTGTTTTAATGTTTCCAGGTTTGATAACCTTGAGAACCTGTGTTTATGGTGTGCAATCAAAAGTATGGTGCTGAATTCAAAGAAAAGAAAGAAGATGCCTTTTGCGTGGTGTAATACGTTGCCCTCTTATTATCGTATTGACAATCACAACCTGGAAAATGTCTCCAATTATAAAGACTTAGGAGTTGTTTTCGCCTCAGAACTCATCTGGTGAAGTTTCAGTTAAGAACGCTAGATCTCTTTTAGGGTTTATAAAAAGAGAGACCCATAAGTTACCAAGTGCTTCACATCTTTAATTAGGCCAACTCTTGAACACTTGCCGGTAGTTTGGCTTCCCAGTTATAGACGCCATGTTGATCTCTTGGACTCGGTTCAACGGGACTTTTTGATGTTTGCTTTGCGAGGTTTGGGATGGGGACTGCCTTTCCTCTTCCACCGTATAATAATAAATTGAAGCTCATTGATTTGCCTACCCTTGAAAAAATCGCGAAATTCCGTCTTTAACCTAATAAAATTATTATTAATATTAACATTCCCAGTAAGGTCTCAAGACACTTTGTGCTCTTACAGCTACCACAATGCCGAACCAATTATATGTTGTTCAATCCGTTTCGGGTAATGTGTAAAATATTCAATGATGATTGCCACTTACTTGATCCATCCTTTAATAAGGTTAAAAGCATTATATTGCAAAACTAGTTGTTAAAAAGTTTCAAGTCGTTTGCAATACATGTAAATTGAATTCAAATATTCCAAATGTATATGTCCCCGTATCTTAGTTTAGGGCCTAGTTGAATTCTGGCGTATGTTATATGCTGATCTTATATTCATTTTTATATATATATATATATTTTTTACTCTATACTACATTTTAAGCTATTTTGCAGCTTACATTCGGCTAATGACTTGCACTGCAGCGGACTTTAATTAATTAAATGAATAAATAAATAAATATATATCCATGACGAATGTTTAACATGGTTTTAAACATTGTACTTACATACTTTATGACTGACAAGCAAAAACATCAAAAAAGTGAAAAAAAGAAAATTTAATCACTTGTAACCTTGTAATGGAATAGCCGAATTTTTCCATTTTTGCACATAAATAGAGAGCGTAAACTAAATGTGGAAAATTTCAGCCTATCTTTTATAATTTTTGTGTAATGATCAAACTTGAAGTCGATATCTTCATTTTTGCGTCCAGGAAACTGTCAACAATATACACCACAAAATCGCACAAACGTATATATGGACAGACATCGATTAATCAATTCAGACTTTCCTATTGATATATATACTTCATAGAATGTCTGAAGCTTCCTTTTGCGTATTGCAAACTTTATGACAAAATGACACTCATGCTTCAGTGGTGGGTACAAAATGTTATAAAAGACGCAGTGCGCTAGCGTTAATAATAGTTTCGCTTTGTGAGGCAAATTGGTGAAGTAACGAGCAAAGCTACCGCAACATAACCGCAAGATGTTTTTACTTTTAGTGACGACCAGCTTATAATGATGAGTGGTATGTATCAAAAGCTTGAATATTTGTTAGATTGTCTGTTTTGTAACAACTGGAACGAAAAGACGATAAATTCATTATCAAATTTTTCCTAATGACACCGTATTAAATAAAAAAAAGACCTCTATAAAAATATAAATAATGGTGATGTTTTTATCGCTCTCTATATAGAATTCGCAGCACGAATTCAATGTTACAAAGAAATAATTGTACATATAAACGATGCCAAGTTTTTGCTTTACATAAATACTATTCGAAAATAAGAAACAGGTGCTGTGAAGTCAAACTACTTCTGTATAAATCGTACCTATCGTTTTGGTCGAATTGTTTGTCAAAGTTCTCTACAGAATACTAACAACGTTAATAATAACAAAAGTATTCAATAGATGTTACCATGCAACGTTATTCGTGTAAAAATTAAGTTTGACCCGACGATATCATCTGTGATGGCCAAAGAAATGGCAATAGAAAGAAGAACATTCGAAGCGCAGAAAAGAACAAAATTCTCATGCTCTATAATATGAAGCGGGCGCAGTTGATTTCTTCTATTTCAAAATAAAAGTTTTTGTCGTAGAGGCATGTGGGCGTTGTAGGCGCGTCTTTTGAAAAGTTAAGGCCAATTCCAATTTCTTTCGCAAATTGGTAGCCGATATCTTTATTTCCGCTAACGGCAGAATGTTTATCACAAATACTGCAAAGTTGCATAAAGAGACCGTTGGACTGATCGACATGTTTAGATGTATTCAAGGATTGTAACTGGCCAAGAATTTGTATACTTCCTGGATTGTTTGTGCCTTGTTTCTGCGCGTTATAAATGTATTAGACAAAAAATTAAATTTTGATACACTATAATATTAGGTAGGCGTAGTCAATTTTTTCAATTTTTCTTCGGCGTCGCTCATAGAATATGCGTTCATATTATTGTATATTTTTCTGCTATAATTTGTAAGCAATTTGTAAAAAATCAATTTCTTATTCCTTTTGAAAAACAGATGTGCTTTGACTTTACGTAGTACTGTAGTACCATTTTCAATACCAACCTGCGTGCAAGAAATTCCAATACTTCTACCAAATTTGAAGACAATAGCTTTATTTTTGCGGCCAGGAGAATGTTTACAAGAACCATTACACAGACGGGCAGAGGGACATGCTTACATCGATTCAGAATTTCATGCTGGTAAAGAATGTGTATACTTCATAGAATCTCTGAAGTTCTTTCCGCGCGCAGCAAATGTTTTGATAAAATGATTATACCCCGTCTTTCGGTGATGGGTATAACAAAAAATATCAAATAAAAACGACCGCGGATTGGTGACTTTACAAAGATTGAAAGTATCAACGAAAATATCCCGAATAGAAACATCGATATATAACCAGCTAGATTAGAAGGTAAGAGTTCTAAGAGGATCAGCGCAATATAAGTCGTATTATTATTGATTGTAAACTGTTAATCAAAACGAAGTGCCCAGTGAAATACAATGCACAATTTAAAGTGGCCAATTGACCTCTTACTACACCAGAGGCTCAAAACGTTGGAGCAACTATACTGCTGATACATTCTAGCACAAGATGCTGAAAACACTAGACACAGCGAACAGCATTTTCTCAATACACATGTTATTCAGG